CAAAAATACATGTACAAAAGCACTTACAAAAATACACTTACATAATTGTTCGGGTTGGGAACTGATCGTAAGGCAGGGGTCCACTGTATTATTTTTTTTTTCAGCAAACCGGCTGTATCCCACCGAGGCAGGGTGGCCCAAAAAGGAAAATGAAAGTTTCTGTTTTGAAATTTAGTAATTTATACAGGAGAAGGGGTTACTTGCCCCTTGTTCCCGGCATTTTAGTCGCCTCTTACAACATGCATGGCTTACGGAGGAAGAATTCTGTTCCACTTCCCCATGGAGATAACAGGAAATAAACAAGAACAAGAACTAGTAAGAAAATAGAAGAAAACCCAGAGGGTGTGTGTGTGTGTACTCACCTAGTTGTACTCACCTAGTTGAGGTTGCAGAGGTCGAGTCCAAGCTCCTGGCCCCGCCTCTTCACTGGTCGCTACTAGGTCACTCTCCCTGAACCATGAGCTTTATCGTACCTCTGCTTAAAGCTGTGTATGGATCCTGACTCCACTACATCGCTTCCCAAACTATTCCACTTCCTGACTACTCTGTGGCTGAAGAAATACTTCCTAACATCCCTTTGATTCATCTGTGTCTTCAGCTTCCAACTGTGTCCCTGTGTTGCTGTGTCCAGTCTCTGGAACATCCTGTCTTTGTCCACCTTGTCAATTCCTCTCAGTATTTTGTAAGTCGTTATCATGTCCCCCTATCTCTCCTGTCCTCCAGTGTCGTCAGGTTGATTTCCCTTAACCTCTCCTCATAGGACATACCTCTTAACTCTGGTCCCAGTCTTGTTGCAAACCTTTGCACTTTCTCTAGTTTCTTTACATGCTTGGCTAGGTGTGGGTTCCAAACTGGTGCCGCATACTCCAATATGGGCCTAACGTACACGGTGTACAGGGTCCTGAACGATTCCTTATTAAGATGTCGGAATGCTGTTCTGAGGTTTGCCAGGCGCCCATATGCAGCAGCAGTTATTTGGTTGATGTGCGCTTCAGGAGATGTGCCTGGTGTTATACTCACCCCAAGATCTTTTTCCTTGAGTGATGTTTGTAGTCTCTGGCCCCCTAGACTGTACTCCGTCTGCGGTCTTCTTTGCCCTTCCCCAATCCTCATGACTTTGCATTTGGTGGGATTGAACTCCAGGAGCCAGTTGCTGGACCAGGTCTGCAGCCTATCCAGATCCCTTTGTAGTTCTGCCTGGTCTTCGATCGACTGAACTCTTCTCATCAACTTCACGTCATCTGCAAACAGGGACACCTCGGAGTTTATTCCTTCCGTCATGTCGTTCACAAATACCAGAAACAGCACTGGTCCTAGGACTGACCCCTGTGGGACCCCGCTGGTCACAGGTGCCCACTCTGACACCTCGCCACGTACCATTACTCGCTGCTGTCTTCCTGACAAGTATTCCCTGATCCATTGCAGTGCCTTCCCTGTTATCCCTGCTTGGTCCTCCAGTTTTTGCACTAATCTCTTGTGTGGTACTGTGTCAAACGCCTTCTTGCAGTCCAAGAAAATGCAATCCACCCACCCCTCTCTCTCTTGTCTTACTGCTGTCACCATGTCATAGAACTCCAGTAGGTTTGTGACACAGGATTTCCCGTCTCTGAAACCATGTTGTCTGCTGGTGATGAGATCATTCCTTTCTAGATGTTCCACCATTCTTCTCCTGACAATCTTTTCCATGATTTTGCATGCTATACATGTCAGTGACACTGGTCTGTAGTTTAGTGCTTCATGTCTGTCTCCTTTTTTAAAGATTGGGACCACATTTGCTGTCTTCCATGCCTCAGGCAATCTCCCTGTTTCGATAGATGTATTGAATATTGTTGTTAGGGGTACACATAGTGCCTCTGCTCCCTCTCTCAGGACCCATGGAGAGATGTTATCTGGCCCCATTGCCTTTGAGGTATCTAGCTCACTCAGAAGCCTCTTCACTTCTTCCTCGGTTGTGTGTACTGTGTCCAGCACATGGTGGTGTACCCCACCTCTCTGTCTTTCTGGAGCCCCTTCTGTCTCCTCTGTGAACCCTTCTTTGAATCTCTTGTCGAGTTCCTCACATACTTCACGGTCATTTCTTGTTGTCTCTCCTCCTTCCTTCCTTAGCCTGATTACCTGGTCCTTGACGGTTGTTTTCTTCCTGATGTGGCTGTATAACAGCTTTGGGTCAGATTTGGCTTTTGCTATGTCGTTTTCATATTGACGCTGGGCCTCCCTTCTTATCTGTGCATATTCGTTTCTGGCTCTACGACTGCTCTCCTTATTCTCCTGGGTCCTTTGCCTTCTATATTTCTTCCATTCCCTAACACACTTGGTTTTTGCCTCCTTGCATCTTTGGGTGAACCATGGGCTCATCCTGGCTTTTTCATTATTCCTGTTACCCTTGGGTATAAACCTTTCCTCAGCCTCCTTGCACATTGTTGCTACATATTCCATCATCTCATTAACTGGCTTCCCTGCCAGTTCTCTGTCCCACTGAACCTCATTCAGGAAGTTCCTCATTCCTGTGTGGTCCCCTTTCCTGTAGTTTGGTTTCATTTGTCCTGGCCTTCCTGCTTCCCCCTCCACTTGTAGTGTGTGTGTGTGTGTGTGTGTGTGTGTGTGTGTGTGTGTGTGTGTGTGTGTGTGTGTGTGTGTGTGTGTGTCTGTGCATGCTTGTACATGTATGTGTAGTGTGACCTATGTGTAAGAAGTAGTAGCAAGACATACCTGAAATCTTGCATGTTTATGAGACAGAAAAATGGACACCAGCAATCCTATCTATCTATCTATCTATCTATATATATATATATATATATATATATATATATATATATATATATATATATATATATATATATACATGTATATATATATACATGTATATACATGTATATATATATATATATAATATATATATATATATACATGTATATATATACATGTATATACATGTATATATATATACATGTATATACACTGTGCTCTTGGGAGATTCTGAAGAGAAGTTGCAGAGATTGGTGGATGAATTTGGTAGGGTGTGCAAAAGAAGAAAATTAAAGGTGAATACAGGAAGAGTAAGGTTATGAGGATAACAAAAAGATTAGGTGATGAAAGATTGAATATCAGATTGGAGGGAGGGGAGTATGGAGGAGGTGAACGTATTCAGATATTTGGGAGTGGACGTTGTCAGCAGATGGGTCTATGAAAGATGAGGTGAATCATAGAATTGATGAGGGAAAAAGAGTGAGTGGTGCACTTAGGAGTCTGTGGAGACAAGAACTTTGTCCTTGGAGGCAAAGAGGGGAATGTATGAGAGTATAGTTTTACCAACGCTCTTATATGGGTGTGAAGCGTGGGTGATGAATGTTGCAGCGAGGAGAAGGCTGGAGGCAGTGGAGATGTCATGTCTGAGGGCAATGTGTGGTGTGAATATAATGCAGAGAATTCGTAGTTTGGAAGTTAGGAGGAGGTGCGGGATTACCAAAACTGTTGTCCAGAGGGCTGAGGAAGGGTTGTTGAGGTGGTTCGGACATGTAGAGAGAATGGAGCGAAACAGAATGACTTCAAGAGTGTATCAGTCTGTAGTGGAAGGAAGGCGGGGTAGGGGTCGGCCTAGGAAGGGTTGGAGGGAGGGGGTTAAGGAGGTTTTGTGTGCGAGGGGCTTGGACTTCCAGCAGGCATGCGTGAGCGTGTTTGATAGGAGTGAATGGAGACAAATGGTTTTTAATACTTGACGTGCTGTTGGAGTGTGAGCAAAGTAACATTTATGAAGGGATTCAGGGAAACCGGCAGGCCGGACTTGAGTCCTGGAGATGGGAAGTACAGTGCCTGCACTCTGAAGGAGGGGTGTTAATGTTGCAGTTTAAAAACTGTAGTGTAAAGCACCCTTCTGGCAAGACAGTGATGGAGTGAATGATGGTGGGAAAATTTTTCTTTTTCGGGCCACCCTGCCTTGGTGGGAATCGGCCGGTGTGATAATAAAAAAAAATAAAAAATAATATATATATATATATATATATATATATATATATATATATATATATATATATATATATATTTTATATACTGTACATGTATATTTATATATGTATATGAACATGTGTGCATGTGCTTTGTTCATATGTAAATGTACCTGTGTGTATGTATGCATGAGTACAGTGGACCCCCGCATAACGATTACCTCCGAATGCGACCAATTATGTAAGTGTATTTATGTAAGTGCGTTTGTACGTGTATGTTTGGGGGTCTGAAATGGACTAATCTACTTCACAATATTTCTTATGGGAACAAATTCGGTCAGTACTGGCACCTGAACATACTTCTGGAGTGAAAAAATATCGTTAACCGGGGGTCCACTGTATATGGTATGTATGTGTAAATATTATTCCTGGTTAGAATTTTTAAATGAGAAATAGGGTAAATCTTTGATTTTTTTGTGTGATGATTATTTCAGAATAGAGAGGAAGTGTAATATAGGAGAGGCCTGAGGATGTGGTTAATGAACATAGGAAATGTTACTATAGTGCCTGGAATGCCTAGTGTCAATTTTCGACTCTCTTTAAATTGGAACATGCAAAGTAAAAGTACACAAGTGCAACTTATGTGACATTTTTATTGTGGCAATGTTTCGCAATAAAAATGTCACATTAGTTGCACTTGTGTCCTTTTACTTTGCATATTGTTGGTAATTCTACCAACTTTATTACAAATTGGAACATGTTGAATATTGTGTAAAATTGGTTAGATGACCAACTTCTATACATTTTAATGGGTAATTATTTTAATTGAATGGGCAGTTTCTTGTGCTTAATCGACAGATCTAAATAGCTAAGAATTTGGTGTCATTACCATCATAAGAAGATTCTCTAGCATTTCAGAAGAATTTTTTTTTTTAAATGCTGACATTGAGCACTTTTAATTTTGGGGGTTCCGACAGTGAAGGGGCTAAGTAAAATCTATTTGAAAAGTTTTCTGAAGTGATTCTTTTTCCCAGTCACTTATGATTTTATAATTTTCAGGCTGATGTGTACAGGATCTGGCCTAACACCCAAGCTGACGGTGCCACATAACTAACAATGGCCACACTGGCAGCAATGGCAGATATGTTGTATGATGCCATCAACATCGGAGATGTCGACACCGTTATGGACCTGTTAAAGAAAGGTTTGTTAATTATCAAACTGAACAGTGTTGTGAATTACAAATAATTAATACATAAGTAGTTTTAATAGCTGTAAGAATAAATATTATCACATAGTTATTGATTAATGAGTAATGAGCAAGTAATGAGTACTAAAAACTTGTGCATAAGTCGTTTACCTACTCAGCAGGTTTTTTACAGGTGCCAACGTGAATGTGCTTCCATCATGTGGACGGACAGCTTTGGGTCGTGCAGCACAGTTAGGACATCTGGCTATTGTATGCCTCCTCCTAGATGCAGAGAAGTTTTACACTACTCCAGAAGAGGAGGATGTGGACACAGAAGCCATGTTGTCATGTGTCACATCTAGTGGCAGCTCACTTGCTCAAGCATCAAGCACTCCATCGTGTGTTTCACTGGTCACTGCCACGTCTCCAGATCCATGGTCTTCACCTGTTAATGTAACCTCAGTACCGGCTGCCTCAACTTCCACTCTCCGTCCTTCGCTTGGGTCTTCTTTACGAAGTCCACAGCCACATAAATGTTGCTCTCCAAGTATTGATTCTGAAACTTGTACATGTAGTGATGAGGTTTGTTTCAACTTTAGCTCATATTCTTTTTATTCGTAAATTTACATTCCATATTATTTTTTCTTTTTATTTCATATTCAACGTAGAGTATTTATAGTACAGCCTCTCCGCACTTAGCGACATACTCGTTTACCAACAACTCGGACTTACGATGGGCTCTCTGACCAGTATACATACCTAAATAATGTATATTAGAGCTGATTTCCTCTATTCTGTGTATGTATTACAGTATACAGTACACTACTGTATAAATATTTAAAAATATACCAGTAATGTTATAAATGGTGCAAAAGTGACATTAAAACAATACCAAAGATGGTTGACACAAACCCACTACCATTATAATATGCTCCTCACTTTGCTATGAATTCGTTTGCTGACGTGGTCTTAGGAACGGAACTCCGTTGTTAAGTGAGGAGAGGCTGTATATGCAATGCTGATATAGATATTAGTGTTGCAGATATTGAAGTGTTGTTCCACAAAGTATTTAATACTATTTTTACATACCCTATTCCAGTTGTGGGGTTTGGACTTAAGTGATACAAATCAGCACAGCGATTGGGAAGCTGGAAGATGTAATCGGGACCTTCCTAGTAACAATAATGAGGAAGGCTCAGAAACTGAGATAGAAGGAGCTTATAGTGTTCCTGTGTGTAGCCACACAACGAGCCAGTATGGTCCTAGCAACATCGGTTATTATGTTTATGAATATCGGGAGGAAGATGAGGATACTGGTAAGTATTGTATTTGCAATAAGAAATCGTTGTCTTTTTAAAGTATTAGTAGTAGTATTATACAACCCATTCTACTAATTAGTCAGCATTTCACTGCTCAAAACAGTTTAATAGATGACTGTTGTATAATAATAATTAATAATAATAATAATAATAAAATAAAATATAATAAAAATTTTATTTCTTTGCTAAGGTTACAATGTGTGTTTACATATCATAATTTGATTGGAGCAAAGAAAACCACTTATCATGTCAAGGCATTTCGGGCAGACTAACTTAATACTTATAGACTACATAAGTCTAGACAGGTGAAGAGTGTTTGAATACAAATATACTTAATATTTCACTCTATTATTAATATGAGGTAGTACAATTTATAAAACAATCATACATTTTTATGTTTATTATGATTATAATAATAATCATAATTTAAGTTTGTAATTAAGTTTATTTACTCTATTATTAATATGAGCTAGTACAGTTAGTGATACAAACATACATTTATAGGTTTGTAATAATGGCTTAATTTTTTTTTTTTTTAACAAGTTGGCCGTCTCTCACTGAAGCAGGGTCACCCAAAAAGAAAGAAAATCCCTAAAAAGAAAATACTTTCATCATCATTCAACACTCACCTCACTCATACATAATCACTGTTTTTTGCAGAGGTGCCCAGCATGCAGCAGTTTAGAAGCATATACGTATAAAGATACACAACATATCCCTCCAAACTGCCAATATCTCAAACCCCCCCTTAAAAGTGCAGGCATTGTACACTGTACTTCCCATTTCCAGTACTCAAGTCTGGCTATATAAAAATAACCGGTTTCCCTGAATCCCTTCACTAAATATTACCCTGCTCACACTCCAACAGCTCGTCAGGTCCCAAATACCATTCGTCTGCATTCACTCCTATGCAACACGCTCATGCATGCTTGCTGGAAGTCCAAGCCCCTCACCCACAAAACCTCCTTTACCCCCTCCAACCTCTTTGAGGACGACCCCTACCTCACCTTCATTCCCCTACAGATTTATACGCTCTCCATGTCATTCTACTTTGATCCATTCTCTCTAAATGACCAAACCACCTCAGCAACCCTTCTTCAGCCCTCTGACTAATACTTTTATTAACTCTACACCTTCTCCTGGAGATGGGAAGTACAGTGCCGGCACTCTGAAGGAGGGGCGTTAATTTTGCAGTTTTATAACTGTAGTGTAAGCATGCCTCTGGCAAGACAGTGATGGAGTGAGTGATGATGAAAGTTTTTTTTTTTTCGGGCCACCCAGCCTTGGTGAGAAACGGCCAATGTGTTAATAATAATAATAATAAAAAAAGGTAAGGAGAGCCCTTTGAGGTACATAGTATCATATCTTGGAAAGAATACCAACTGTTTTGGAAACTTTTTTAGTTATTTGCTGGATGTGGGTCTGAAATTTAAGATTACAGTCCAGGTGGAGGCCTAGAAATTGTACGAGCCTTAAACAGTGATTACCTGACTGTGTATTGTAAAGCGTTTGGTGGGCCCCCATTTTCTGTTCATACTTAAAAAACTTATATTGCCTCTCTGTAATATTTCATTTATGTATGTATCATTTTGATATGTTATAGTTTATTAATTTTTATTAATTCACGATAAGTTAACTAAACCATGCATATAATTTTTTTCATTTTTTTTTTTTTTTTTTGCTGAAAACAGTATGTGAGAGATAAACTTAGTAATTACTTTCTAGCAAAAGAAAATGTGCCAGTTAAATTTACTGCAAGATAAAGTATTATAATTCTTCATGAATTTGCTAAATTATATAAAGAAGAAAGGATGATTGGTTTAGGAAATTCAATAGATCAACCATCATTCATGAAATAATAAGCATGAAAGGAAAAACAAATACAGTATAGTTAAGTGGTAAGACCTTCTTTGCAGAATATAATTTTGAAAGGTTTAACATCAGTATGAGAGTTGCATTAAGTTTCTCACAGAAAGAAAAGACACCAAAAATATGAACTTTAGATCAGTTTTTTGTATAATGATTTGCTTGCAGGGGAATCTTCTGGTCCTGTTTTGTCATCCACTGAAGATTCAGATTCTGCTTTGATGGCAGAGAGACGTCATCACCACCACCTTCATCGACATTCATCTTCTATTCTGTTGCAGCGCACACTTGGCAGAGGCAGGGCTAATATTGTATCATCTGATTCTGAATTTGAAACTGAAAATAAAAGACACAGGAGGCATGCTCGTCACAATCACCGCTCACACCGCCATGAAAGAGACAATGGTGAGGAATGAGTTTTCCTTGTAATAACTATATGAATTTGCTTATGTTCCTAAATTCTTCGTGTAAAGTGCTGTACAGTATAGTAAAGCACCAGAAATGTAGTGATTGGTTGCTCAGAAAATTGGATGCCAAAATTATCATCATTTGAAATTGTTGCTTGTTCAGTTATTCTGTTGATGATATGTTCCAATGTGAGAATTCATAATAAAAATCACACTTGCAAATAGAAATGTATAGAGTAATTCTGACACTATTGCCTTGAATGCAATTTATGACACTACCTTCAATTTATAATACTTTACCTTCAATTCTGGCAGCCTTTTGAAGGCATAGCTTTGGAAATGAATGGTATAAAATACCGACACAATGGAAATATAAACACTTAAGCAGTATAATGTGATCCTTTATTGACAACGTTTCTCCTGCGCAGTGGGCTTTATCAAATCAGATCTGTTTGTGACATGATAAAGCCCACTGCGTGGGTGAAACGTTGTCAATAATCACATTATGCTGCTTAAGTGTTTATATTTCCAAGGCATAGCTGTGTGGTATAGGTATACACTGCTACTACCTGTGAACTCTCATTAGTGCACAATTCTTGAAATTTCTCAAAACTTGTTAAAATCAGTTTGATATCTTGAGAAATCTCAGAATCTTGCTTTTTCTGTATTAATGATCTTTGCAGAGTTCATACTATATATTTTTATTCATTCATTGCACTGGAGAAAGACACAGGCTAGTAAATGCTTTCTAAAAGTTTGAATGTTTTTATTGTACAACACTCTCAGACATCAGAGCTTCTGCTAAAAATGCACACAGTTTAGTGTAAAATTGTCACAGATCCTTGCTCTGCTTTTTTCCAACTTTAATTATCATGTGCACTTCTTTTGGGTGCCATGGTTAGTAAGGTATGATGAAGGGCAGGGAAGAAATATATTATTTTATGTTACTCTCATCATCATCCCAAATGATGAGAGTAATTCTCTTCAGAATTACTTACAAGAATAATGTCATTGGCATTGAGTTAACTATGACAGCTTTTACTTTGTATCTAATTTGTTATCTTTTAATCACCCTATCATTCACTTTTTTTACAACTATATATATGTTAAACAACCATGATGACATCACACATCCCTGTATAAGGCCTACTTTTACTGGAAAATAATTCCTATATTTAACCTCCTTCCTGGGTTATTAATGCTTATTGAGCAATAAGCATTCCTTTAAATATTGAACATTTTAAAAATAAAAGATTGTGAAACAGAATCAGTATCGGCCTAAAAATTGGTATCATTCTATCCCTATTTTTAAATCTACTCCATACCTTTTTTACCCCCCCTCCTCACCCCTTCCACATTACCAGTACTCTTTTAGCCAACCTTTCTCCACAACAGTTGCTTATATTTTACCCTAAGTATCTCTTTCTAATTTATTCACCTTCCTCTCTCTCTCTCTCTTTCTCTCTCTCTCACTCACTGATAACATTTTCCTTGTATCCCATCTACCTCTTGTTCTCACTATAGCTACCACTAGATAATGATCTAGTATGTCTTATCTCTCTAAGAACGTGTATGTACATCCAGTATACCCATGAACCTTTTATCTATTAATACATAATCTGACAAACTGCTGTCATTATGCCCTATATCATATTTATCCTCTTTATTTTTTTTTTCTTAAAATAAATATTGCCTATTACCAAATACTTTTTGATACTGTAGTAGGTTCGCCGGTCTTGTCCCAGCCCGGGTCTTTTCCAGGTGAATATTTTTATATATAATTCAGTTAGAAACCCTCCCTCATCATTTACCCCAATCATTCCAACCTTACCTACTATGCCCTCTACATCATTTTCTACCATTTTAGCACTGAGATCCTATACAACAAATGTTTTCTCAATGGTTCAAAACTCTCTAAACATTCACTTACCACCTCTCAAAATTTCTCACTCCTGTACACCTTTCTCATTCCTAGGTGAATAAACACTTAATACAGTGGACCCTCAATCAGCGATATTAATCCGTTCCTGAGAGCTCATCGTTAATCGAAATTATCGTTAGTTGAGTTAATTTTCCCCATAAGAAATAATGGAAATCAAATTAATCCGTGCAAGACACTCAAAAGTATTGAAAAAATTTTTTTTTTACCACATGAAATATTAATTTTAATACACACAAATTGAAGAAGACATGCACAGTTACATGACACTTACCTTTATTGAAGATCTGGTGATGATTGATGGGATGGGAGGAGGGGAGAATGTTGATGGTGTTAGTGTTTAGAAGGGGAATCCCCTTCCATTAGGACTTGAAGTGGCAAGTCCTTTTTCGGGGTTACTTCCCTTCTTCTTTTAATGCCACTAGGACCAGCTTGAGAGTCACTGGACCTCTGTCGCACAACATATCTGTCCATAGAGGCCTGTACCTCCCGTTCCTTTATGACATTCCTAAAGTGTTTCACAACATTGTCAGTGTCACAATTAAACACTTGTTCAGGTTTCAATTCTTCACTGTCTATGTACTCCTTGAATTCCTGCACATATTTTTCAGCTGCTTTTTGGTCCAAACTGGCAGCCTCACCATGCCTTATCACACTATGTATGCCACTACGATTCTTAAATCTCTCAAACCAACCTTTGCTGGCCTTAAATTCACTCACATCACCACTAGTTGCTGGCATTTTTCTAATTAAATCCTCATGCAACTTCCTAGCCTTTTCACATACAGTGGAACCTCAAATATCGAACTTTCTTCGGTCCAGAAGGCTGTTCGAGTGCCTTTACCAATTAATTTATTCCCATCAGGAATAATGTAAATTAGATTAGTCCATTTCAGACCCTCAAAAATACACTTACAAAAGCACTTACAAAAATACACTTACATAATTGGTTGTGTTGGGAGCAGTTCGATTTTTGAGGTTTCACTGTATGATCACTTGAGAGATGCTATCTCCTGCTATCTGTTTTTCGTTTATCCACACCAATAATAGTCTCTCAACATCTTCTATCACTTGCGATCTCAGTTTCGAAAACATAGTTGCACCTTTGGCAAGAACAGCTTCCTTGATTGCCGTTTTCTTGGCCACAATAGTAGCGATGGTTGATTGGGGTTTTGTGTACAACCTGGCCAGCTCGGAGACACGCACTCCACTTTCATACTTAGCAATGATCTCTTTCTTCATATCCATAGTAATTCTCACCCTTTTTGCTGTAGGGTTGGCACTAGAAGCTTTCTTGGGGTCCATGGTGACTTATTTTGCAGGTGTAATCACTAAAAAGGCTGTGATAATATGAAATGTTCCGATTGTATGCTTGGAAGCGACCGTGGTGGCTGGCTGGCTTGTAAACACTGGCCAGAAGTGGACGCGTCTCAGACGGAACGAATAGTGTTGGTCGAGTTTTTAAGCGCTAGTCGAGGCAAAATTTTTACGTTAAAATGTATCGCTGGTCGGATTTATCATTAATCAATGCCATCGTTGGTCGAGGGTCCACTGTATATCCAACTTCTTAGATCCCACACTTATTCTAAACTACATACTTCTTGAATTTAAATGCCCATTACCCCTCTTTTTCTTCCATAGCTGAACATTTAATATCAGGCTTTGGTTCTCTCCATTACTCCTGATTTAACCCCAGTTATTCCATCCCATTGAAATCCTCCCACCCCCTCTTTAGCTTTGTTTCACTTAGTGCTAGGGCATTCAGCTTCCTTTCATTCATAACATTAACAATGAATTCTTTCTTCATATCTGTTCTACACCCAAGCACATTAAAACAATGCACTATTGCTATTTCCTTTTCCTTTTTAGCATTTGATACAGGAGAAGGGGCTACTTGCCCCTTATTCCTTGCATTTTAGTTGCCTTTTCAGCATTCATTGCTTACTGGGGAAGAATTCTACTCCACTTCTTGGAATTGAAAGGAAGCACTACTAGGACAAGAACTATTATGAAAGTAATGTATCAAGTAGTATATTTATTTATAAATATCAACATTGAGCTTTTCATGTAGCTTATTTTCAAAATAGAGAGAGCACTTGATTTTTTTCTTTTAATGAAAAACATTTTTTTTTGTGCAGGCCGCCACAAAGCATTGGTTAACTCTCATCGGTCAAGTCCATGGTTGGCTCAGCTTCACTCTGAATATTTGTCCCTTGGCCTGACTTCCCCCTGGTCTCTAAGCCGCAGCTGTGATATCAATCAACAAGATGCATATGGGAGGTCAGCACTGCACTATGCCACTGAGCAGGGTCATACATATATTGTTCACATGCTTATCAAATCAGGTAAATCACTTTTATTCTGTTTGGATTGTGTTTTATTCTCCTTCACATTTGTTGAGTCTTGATACAGTAATTACATAATGTAGGAGCCTTACAAGCATAGAAATGTATGTCCCATTATTTTATACATTATTGTATAATATTGCATATTTATGTAATGTTTTTTTTTTTTTTTTTAAATTTTCTACTTATTCTGACATACTGTATGTACTTATGTAGACAGGATCATTGCTACTTTTACTCTTCCTCTCCACAAATTTATGTAGTTTCCACCTAAGAGTATTTATGACTAATATGGATAAGTATTTTACAAGCACCTTATTAATTTGATATAAAGATGTGTCTCATGGACTATCATATGAAAAGAATGGGAACTTGTTTACATGCAGTAAATGAGGCGAATGTGAATAGAAAGTTTTGTTTACAAATACTGTAAGAAAGATTACTAAAAAGCGTTTGAAAAGGATGTCAGCATGGTGGAATATTCTGAGTTATAAATTTATGACGCGTAAAGGCAGCAGATGAAAATGTACTGTTGATAAGTAATAATTGTTAATGGTGGCCTGTGGCCTGGTACGCAGGGCTTTCGCTTCACATGCTGAGTGTCCATGGTTTGATCCCTGGCAAGGGTGGAAACATTGGACAAGTTTCCTTACACCTGTTGTACCATTCACCTAGCAAGCCAGTAGGTACCTGGGTGTTAGGCGACTGGTGTGGGTCACATCCTGGGGGACAGGATTGAGGACCCCAATGAAAATGAGACAGACATTACCTCGACGCACTGCCTTTCTTGTGTTATCCTGGGTGGCTAACCCTCTGGGGTTAAAAATCTGAACAAAATCTTATCTTAAGTTTACAGTATGTATTGTTCTTCATAAATGTGATTAATTATTTATAATTATGGGAAAAATACTATGGGTGTGGCAACTTTTCCTCAGTATTAAGTGTTATAACCAGTGGTTAGAGCACTTACTAAGTAGACTTCATCTTGTGTTTAGTCTGTAATTTATCTGTTTGTAAGTTATAAATGAAAAGGATGAGAGGAGAGGAAGTTTGCATTGGTACCGTATATATACTAATGTTAGACAATCTCAAATCTAATAGGGATAGAATATTATGATTATGTAATGAATACAGCTGTATGAGTAGAGTGTAAAATTAAGGAGCAACATTTGAAGGGAAAAAAAAGTGATTTTAAATAGTAACAAAACTTTTAGGTAATATAGGTTAAAATTGCACGTAAGAGAGCCGTTAATATTAGATGTGATGTTATCACATAATCCCTCTTGTAAGTTTTATTTTTATCCCTTGAATTGTACCTGGAAGTTTTTTGTAGCTAAAACAGTGCAATATTGTTAAGGATATTAAATTATTATTCTTGGGAGTTACTTTGTGGAACAACTTAATTAAATAGATTATACATTATTAAGAATACATTTGTTGAAGAGAAGTTACATTTTCCTTAAAGGGGTTCGTATAGACACTCCAGATGCTGAGCACATGACTGCCCTCCACCTTGCAGCGCAGAGAGGCTTGGCAGAGGTTATTACACTATTGCTGGAAGGAGGAGCAAAAGTCAACACAAAAATGAATGATAAGGTAATTTATTTAGAACTTGGAAAGTTAAGCCAGTGTAAGAAGGCATCTCAAATTTGATACTGTAAATGAGCTCAAAGCCCATGTATTCTGCTTAGTCAGGCCATGAACACCTGATTCTACATACGGTAATAATAATCATCAAATACACTCTGAAAAGCGAACCGATTGCATACGTAGAATGTGTATTGCATATAAGGATATACATGTACCAATAAAAATAGGGCATGCCATAATACAGTGGAACCTCGGTTTTCGTTTTCCCTGAATTTCTTTGAATTTGGTTTTTGACAACTTTTTTCATCAAAATTTTGTCCCAGTTTTTGTTCATCACCTCGGTTTTCATCCGCCATATCAAACGTGTCCGCCTGCATCCACACAACATCCCACGCATGCGTTCTGAGTCAGTCTATCTTTGTTTCTCGTTGAGTGAACATTACCCTACACTTTCATATGAAACATTTTGTAATAATCCATTTTTTTGTGCTTGTTTATTAAGTGCAACTGCTAAATAAGTCACCAAGGGGCCAAAGGAAGTTCCAAGTGCCAGCCCTTTGATAAAGAAGGCAAGAAATTGTGGCCAGAATGTGTCCAAGAGAAGGATTTTGAAGGGTTTGAGGCTGACCCTGACAACCCTACGCCTGTTGTGGAATCTCTTGTGGCTTTGGGGAAGTCCATGGAGTTGGATGTGAATGGCCAGGATGTGGAAGAGTTGGTGGATGACCCCAGGGAAGAGTTAACCACTGAAGAGCTGCAACACCTTCAACTGGGACAGCAACAGATCACAGCTGAGGAAATTGCTTCAGAAGAGGAGGAAGAGAGAGAGAGAATGTGCCTTCTTCAGTGATTAAGGACATGTGTGCAGAGTGGAGGGAGTTGCAAAGTTTTGTGGAGAAATATCACCCTGACAAAGCTGTTGCAAGCCATGTCTGCGACATGTTTAATGACAGTGCCTTGTCCCATTTTAGGCAAATCTTAGAGACGCCAGAAACAGACCTCTGGACAGATTTTTTTGTGTGACGGGTCCAGTGGCACAAGCTGGTCCTAGTGCCAGTAAAAGACAAAGAAGGGAAGTAACCCCGGATAGGGACTTGATACCTGAAGTCCTTATGGAAGTGGATTCCCCTTCCAAACAATAACCTTTCCTCCCTCTCCCCTCCTCGCCGTCTTCCATACGCCAATGAGAGTCTTCAATAAAGATAAAAGTTATGCTAAATATTTATTTACCATTTCATTAGTCCTTTATATTTATTTCTCATTGTTTTTTATATGTAAAACTATAGTTATTCTCTATAAAATATAATTTTTGTTAATACTTTTGGGTGTCTGGAATGGAATAATTGGATTTACATTATTTCTTACGGGAAATATTGCTTCAGTTTTCATTGAATTTGGTTTTCGTCGGACTTTCTGGAACAAATTAAAGACGAAAACCAAGGTTCCACTGTAGTAAGTTTGCATACAGTGGAGGAAACCTATATATAGTATTGGAAAAAAAACTTCACTAAGTGTTTCTGTTTTATAATGTATAAATGGATTTGTAAATCTTAATTCTTTGTTCATTTTTTGTGCGAGTGCAGTGAAGCACCATGTCTTCCCTATTAGTGGACGTAGGGTTAAGCTCCATCGCTTCTTGTGATGTATGATATGATGAGTAAGACGCTTGCAACACTAGGAAATTTATTAGTTAAAGGTTTTGTCTCCACTGCAGGCTTCGTCAGTTGATTACAAAAAGGAATTATGCTCTTGGAGACATCAGCCTTGGTGAAAGACATAGGAATATAATTCATCTCTGTATTAGACTGATGAAGCCTGCAGTGCAGTTGAAACTTTTCATCAGTAAAGATTTCTAGTGCTCTCCATGTGTCTTAGTTATCAACTTGTTCATATTGTATACCATTTATAGCGATGTACAGTATGTGTAAACTACATGCATTTAGTGCTACACATGAAATAACAATACTAAGACTGGCTATTTAGCATAGGACCTTAAATGGGCTACATAATTGAAATGTATTTATGTAGTGTTTTACAATGTACTGTTCCGTGGTGTCTCAGGACTCCTTTTCTCAAAGTTTTGTATCATTTCTTCAGTAAAGTGTAGTAGGCAAGAGGGTGCAGGAGTACTGGCATTCTTGTGGCATGTGGCATATTTTATAATGAGAGCCTGGTTTACCACTAATTTGTTCTGCAAGGTCAAATAGTGAACCAGGAATTTTTGTATGTGACTTTTGCAGTGCCTCAGAGAAATGGTGTGAGAGAAGTCCTGATTGTCTCACCTTTAAAAACAAATTGCTAGTGCACCAGGCCCTCATCATGAAATGCATCATGTACCACTCCCCTGTCTGCTACCCAATACTCGAAAGAGATGATGCGATATCCTTTGAGGAGCTGAGTTCTGAGGCAGTAGGTAGGTACAGTATACCAGTGATGCTTTCCACTTTTGCAACCCACAGTGTTCACACAATACAAATACAGTATATTTAATTTGGTCTCAGAACTTTTAATTAACATTTCAATATTTGATTCTCCCCATATTTATTTTTGTCTGCTTCAACAGGACTGTAAATTCAGTTGAACCTTTTAATTTGTGTACTTTGTAATCCAAGCAATGTGATTATATAATATTTTTACTGGTAGCCATTTTACAGAGTTTTTTTTTTTTTTAACAAGTCGGCCATCTCCCACCGAGGCAGGGTGACCCAAAAAGAAAGAAAATCCCCGAAAAGAAAATACTTTCATAATCATTCAACACTTTCATCTCACTCATACATAATCACTGTCTTTGCAGAGGTGCCCAGATACAACAATGTAGAAGCATATATAAAGATATATAACATATCCCTCCAGTCTGCCAATATCCCAAACCTCTCCTTTAAAGTGCAGGCATTGTACTTCCCATTTCTAGTACTTAAGTGTGGCTATATAAAAATAACATCCCTTCTATTATTCATGAAATCCTATGGTTGAAAACTAACCCTAGGATTTCATGCATATTAGGCTCATTCTTTCAGTGAATATCAGTATTAAGCATACTAGAGTATTATTTAAGAATTGTAGAAAAATATTTAAATTATTAAAACACAGGAATTTTTTTATCATTCACAGTTTCAGGACTCAAAACATGTCACAATGACAGGTTAATGTAGAGTTGTTGTATAGACAATCCTAGTACAGTACAGTGGACCCCCGCATAACAATTTTAATCCGTGCAAGAGGGGTAATTGTTATGCGAAATAATCGGTATGCGAATGAATTTTCCCCATAAGAAATAATGGAAATCAAATTAATCCGTGCAAGACACCCAAAAGTATGAAAAAAAAAATTTTACCACATGAAATATACATTTTCCCACACACAAAGAGAAGGATACATGCACAATAGTAGAGTAGTACATGCACAGTATATATTGTGCATGTACTAGTCTACTAAAGAAGAATAAATGACACTTACTTTATTAAAGATGCAGCAATGACTGATGAGACACTGTGTCTGGGAGTGCCTTTTTCCTCCTGAGTATGTAGGTCCTGTTTGGCTTTTTTCTTCCAGAACAGGCCTTATCACACTGTGTATGCCACTACGATTCTTAAATCTCTCAAACCAACCTTTGCTGGTTTTAAATTCACCAATATGAGCACTAGTTCCAGGCATTTTTCCCTGTTCACCTGGGGTGTTAGTCGACTTGTGTGGGTTGCATCCTGGGAGACAAGATTAAGGGGCCCCAATGGAAATAAGTTAGACAGTCTTCGATGACACTGACTTTTTTGGGTTAAACCTGGGTGGCAAATCCTCTGGGGTTAATTGTTTCTTGGTATTCTCAATAAGCCACACCAACAACGGTGCTACGCAGCAGCCCGCAGCAGCTGACGGTGGTACAGCAGCAACAGACGATGCTACAGCAGCAGCAGACGATGCTACAGCAGCAGCAGCAGGCTGACGGTGGTACAGCAGCAACAGACGGGTGCTACAGCAGCAGCAGACGATGCTACAGCAGCAACAGACGATGTTTACAGCAGCAGCAGACGATGCTCAGCAGCAGCAGACGATGCTACAGCGCGCAGCAGTGACGGTGGTACAGCAGCAACAGACGATGCTACAGCAGCAGCAGACGATGTTTACAGCAGCAGCAGACGATGCTACAGCAGCAAGCAGCAGCTGACGGTGGTACAGCAGAAACAGACGTTTGCTACAGCCAGCAACAGACGATGTTACAGCAGCAGCAGACGATGCTACAGCAGCAGCAGCAGCTGACAGTGCAGCAGCAAGCAGCAGCTGACAGTGCAGCAGCAGCAGCAGCTGACAGTGCAGCAGCAGCGGGCAGCTGTACCACCATAGTAGCGATGGTTGATGGGGTTTATTATAAACCTGGCCAGCTCGGACACGCACTCTACTTTCATACTTATCAATGATCTTTTTCTTCATCTCTATTGTAATTCTCACCCTTATTGCTGTAGGGTTGGCACTAAAAGCTTTCTTGGGGCCCATGGTCACTTTTTTTCCCAAAAAAAAAGCACCAAAAAACCTGAAATAATACGAATATTCCGATTCTTGCTTGGATGTTACCGCGGAGGCTGGCTGGTAAACAATGCCACCGGCGGAACATGTGAGCGTGGCTCAGGCCGCACATTGGACACGTCTCGGACGAAAATCGGTGAGCGGGTTTTTAAGCGGTATGTGAGGCAAAATTTTTGCGATTAAAACAAGCGGTATGCGGATTAATCGCTATGTGATGCCATCGTTATGCGGGGGTCCACTGTATTTGATTGATTGTTTTTCAATATTGTTAGCATCAGTGTTCCAGAGAAAATATATATATTGAAAGAAAAAAAAATAGTTGAAGATTTTAAAAACAAAGCAACATAAAAATACAGTCAACCCTCAACTAATGGCGGCATTAAGTAATGGCAATTTTGTCTAATGGCGCTTTTTGCCGTAGAAAAAAATGCCTTAACCAATGGCGAAAAACTTAACCAACGATGTTCGTCCGGAACATGTCCCCAGCCACTCCAAGACTCAGTGTGCCATTGTTTACAAGCTGTTGCGGTCGGTTTCCACGTGTGCCTCCCATACATTTTGGATTATTTCACTGTTTCTAGTGCTTGTAACTGTTAAATAAGCCACCATGGGCCCCAAGAAAGCTTCGAGAGCCAGCCCTTTGGTAAAGGATGTGGGAAACACGATAGAATTCAAGAAAAATTTTGTGAAAAATCGAAAGTGGTGGTGGGAGAGGGTGGTAGTGATTTTTGTAGGGGGGTAGGTTGTGATGGAGTGGGGTGGTACTGGTTGTGATGGGGGTAGGGGTGGGAGTGATACGGTAGAGGGTGGTAGTGATGGGGGTTTGAGGGGGGTCCGTTATTTTCAAAACTGGCCCTAGTGGCATTAAAAAACCAAGAAGGGGGGTAACCCACCATGGATTTGGACCGAAGTCTTTATAGAAGGGGGTTCTCCCTTCCCAAACAATAGACAATCCCGAATTTCCCCTTCTGGCCCCATCATCTCAAAACTCCACAATAAAGGTAAGTGGGATTTAATTATTGTTTTCTGCTGTCCCCTTCCTTTTCCATTTGGGGGAAAAAGTATATTTTGTGTAAAAAAAAAAAAAATCGACTTTGTGGTGCAGGCAGGATTAATTTTTTTTCCATTATTTTTATGGGGGAAAAAAAAAATCGACAACGGAGTTTCAACCAACGGCAAAACCCTTGGAACGGATTAATGCCGTTGGTTGAGGGTCCACTTTAAAACCTATTTTATTTTTAATCTTATATATCAAAACACATTTTCCCATAGACTGCTGTTACACGATTGGGGTTGCATTCCTAAAAAAAGAATTTTTTTTATTCTTTAGATTAATCTCAAATAAATGTGCCAGCACTACACATGCACCAAAGTTATGCACTGTATAGAAAGAATGAACAAATTTGGTGAAATACTACATATATAAAAAATGTAATTCTACAAATAACACCTGCCAATGTAGGCCAGCTTATTGATATGAACACATGAGCTGAAATATAAAGGAATAGTGTTAGTTTGGAAGGAGGGGATGGGGCAGGGTGGTATGCCTCTTCATCTGAACAATCTGTTACAGGATGTTTCTTGCCTCTATAGGGACTGATTTTGAAATATCTTTCCAGTGAATGCTGTATAAATCAGCACTTCTTCTGTATTAGTACTTCCTGCAGCACTGCAGTGCATTTATTTATCTTACTACTGATGTAAAAACTACAGTATTGACTTATTTTTCCTATTGAACTCCAAATGTGCGTTATTTTGCCTTGAAACCTCCACTATATCCTACATAGTTTATTGAATAGGGGCATGTATTTTACAATATTCTCATCTTAGTGTAGCTCACTGTTAGCTAAATCTACACTACACTTCTTTGGAAAGAGCCTTTCTTTCAGATTCCAATAAGTGCACCACATCAGCCTCATCAATATCTTCAAAGCCAATGTCTTGGCCAAGATAAATGATCCTCCTGTGAATGCTTGTTTACACATTCTAACCACAAGTTTTTCAACATGCCATTCATTTTGATGTTTGCAATCGCATTCATAATAGTATAACTTCAGAAGTTCATGAGTGTTGGCTTACCTTCACCACCTGTGATGGGGAGAGAAGGTTCATATTGAATACTAAGTCTTAAATGTGGCTTTAACACATGTGTCCTTGGGAAGAGACATTTACATTAATGGGATGGCATGAGACAGTCTTAAAACAAAAGTTTTGGAGCTTCTTGTTGTTTTCAGTCCATTATTTTTGCAAAAACCTTTTCTTGAAATATGCTAGTTATTGCACATGTTTTCTTATTTGAATGCCACTTGACAAGGAGATTGCATGAATAATGCATTAACATAAGCTTTAGTTTAAAATCTACAGAAGTGGCACCCAGAAATGATTAGCAGTTCCTGGGTTCCTAAAATCCTGACAAAATTTTCTCTTCATTGAATATGTAGGTTCTTGGATGCATTAACTTCCAGTACTGCACAGTATTCTCAGCAGTGATATGCTGTTGTGTGTAGGCATTTGTAATTTTCTTTCAAACATTCCGATAAGAGTCAGTCATCAGTTTTTCCAGGTAAATGTTCTGCAAGTTGTTGCATTTATTTAATTTTGGAATCAGCCTCAAATAGGACCAAAAAATGTTATTCATGAGCTGTCACCTTGTCTCTTAATTAAATCCTCAAACAAACTCTTTGTCTTGATGAATAAGTAACGTGATAGGATAAACATTTTGTTGGTTTTGGTTCAAGATCCAGATAGTGAAACATTTACATATTTACTATCATATCACTGTTTACTGATTGTAATTGCCTTTCATTTAGTTAATTTTATAGAGACAAAAAATTTGGAATGCCTATGAATGAGCTCAACTATCACAACTGTCTTTGCCAGTCTATGCATAGAATCACTAAAGCTGAGCAATTTGCAAACATCATCTCCAGTAATGTAAAATGGATGAGATATGTCAGCGACATTCTTGGTGTTACCCTTAAAGGTTCAACCTTGAAGATTTCCAGATATAGCTGAATCAAGTAGAAATCTCTGTCAAATTATCCCTAAAAGGAATTGTCAACAATACCCTCCTTTTCTGGACATGTTAATTAACAATGCAGACACCCTATTGAAATTTAAAGTTACCTAGAAACCAACCAATCAGGTGATATAATTCACTGATGGTCAATTTACATAAATATGTATGCCACATATATAACACCAGTAACACCGCAACCATATTATAAAATAGACTGAGGTGGAACTCATCATCAGGGTAGGAGATACAGATGAAAATGTTTGGAGTCTGCTTTAATCAGCATCCGTAGTCGTGGAGAATCTTCACAACTACGAAATCTGTATTGATAAAGCCACTGGATGGTGAAACATATACAATAAAGATATCCAGATGTTGCACATGTGTCTAATTTTCATCAAAACCAAGGATGTTTGCAAATGACGAAATTGTTGGCACTTCTATTATATTACTTCAAAAACACCTAGAAAGACGTGAGACTACATAGTGAACCCACATCTCTACATAAGAGGATGGAAATATGGGAGTAGAGGAGCACTGTAGTAGGCCTACTGGCCCATACTAAACAGGGCCTTCTACTTCAGTGAGCTGTTGGGTTCAGTTATCTGCATTAGGCTTGTCACCTGCTATTATGCCTCACTTACTTCTTTCTCAATTATATGAAGTCTGCAATCCCTACATTGTTGATAGGGGGTACAGACAAAAATTGTTTATAGAGGTTACTTGATAAAGCTTGTATATTAAGTGAAATATTGTTATGCATGTTTAGTTTCCATATTGCTTTGAAGTATCTCATTTTATTATAAATTAACTTAAATAAATTCTTTGTATGTTCAACTGCAGAGTTCTCCATTACACATAGCAGCTTCAAGAGGTTATACAGATATTGTGGAGACCTTACTGGACCGTGGTGCAAAGATTGATTCCCTGGACAGCTCTGACCGCACTGCACTTATTGTGGCTGTTTCTCGCTCAAACTACAAAGTTGTACAACTGCTTCTCAAGCGAGGTGCTAAGGTCAACATAGAGGAGATTCATGGTATTTCATCTCATTCTGTTATTAATGTTAAGAATTTTATTTTAATGCTATTGATATAGTATATGTTAATCACATATGGTAACTAGTACAGGTTGGCCATCACTAATCTGGTATCATTTGGAATTGTAGGGTGCTGGATTAGTGATTTTGCCAGAATTACAGAGTGGTTAGGTTAGAATACACTTAATAAAGTTAGCCAACTTGACTTGCACATGAAAGTTCATCACTTCTGCTTCTGAAGTGAATAGCTGAAATTTACAACTGGCTTGTTCCTTCACCAGAGCTCCAGACAGCTCAACACCTTCACTTACACGTAGCCTAAACCACTTCATCAGAACCTGATCTAGTTCTGAACTTCTTTCCTTCATTGTTTTCCTTTTACACATCTGTTTCTTTGAATCAGTGTTAGCAAAGAAACTCAGTAATTTTTTTTCTGTTTCTTTGTCATAAACTGTTGAAGAGCCAGTGCTGTATAACTTCCACAAGTTTCTCACAGACACACTGCTATCAAGTTTTTTCAGACGTTCAATCTTATCTCTTATGGACAATGTATGGTGTTTGTGCTTTTCACAATGAGAAACATTTCTTTTATTCATTGGAACCATGGCTAGGGCTAGAAGTGAGCAGGTTTTATCAATAAATGGAGAGAAAAATATATTGGAATGACTAATGCTGTAAGTAGCGCCACCAAACAGTAGCGACAGGTTGGCGCAGTGACCCCCGGAAATTTTAACCCTTTCATGCTTTCTTTCCATTTTGATTATTATTATAATCAAGGGGGAGTGCTAAACCTGTAGGATTATGCAGCACCTGTGGGGGGGGATGTTGAAGGTATTTAGGCTTAATTCAGGGAACTGGAGCACAGATCCAATTCCCTAGATCAAGAGCCCCTCACCAACATCAAGGAACCTTCCTTGAGGGCTTTCCATTTTGAGTTTTTATTCACACAAAAAATAGAAGATTTACTTTTATTCAGATTACTTAATTATTGTAAAAAGTGGTATAAATAATATCTGCTCATTTGTGAAAGCACATTAGACCCACCAGTTGACGTGTATTGGACGTTGACATAATCTGTTTACATTGAACATTGGCAAAAATTGAACATTTCTGCTACTTTGAGCTTAATTTCAATCATATCTATTATGTAAGAAACATGTTACATAACATATAAACAAGATACATACACCCACAGTATGATAAATTTCACATAAATATGAGGTGTGGTAGCTGGGCGGAGGGAAAAAATTACATTTTCTCTGGTCCAGCACCGGAGAAAATGTGTATCAATCCGACTTTGACCCAGTTACTCCCCGTAACACATTTGGCTTTGTTTATAATTCTCGGCATTACTTCTCATCACTTCTCCCTTCATTTATGATGGCATCTAAAGGTAGTTGTTAGAAATTATTAAACTCGGTGAACAAGGTATGTTGATGGGCCACTTTAAATATCATATGGCTATGTAGCTTGCCTGGGCTACATAGTTACACCTACTGGCTACCTGCACTTGACTTCCTACAAATAAATACCACTCGCCTCTCACCCTACATTAAGACTACACATATTTTAAGCTAAGTAATGAGTGTACTGTTGCAATTTTTTTCATTATGTACTGTGTGCAGCAGGATTTTTTTTATATAGTGCACTCTTACTACACAGACCTATTCTGTCATGTGTAGGCCCAAATTTACTGGTCACAGCTTATGTGAGTGAGCTGAGCTCATGGCGACCTCCAGTGGCTTCAATGCCACCTTATCTTTTATGGACAGTGTACAGTGTGTGTGCTTTACACAATGAGAAACATTTCTTTTATTTGTTGGAACCTTGGCTAGGGCTAAAAGTAAGCAGGTTATAACAGAAAATGGAGAAAAAGAAATTGGAATGACTTGTGCAGCAAGTAGCATCACCAAACAGTACCAGCAGGTTGGTGTGGCAACCCTAGAAATTTGAAATTAGTGCCTGATTACTGATGGAACCGGATTACTGATTGCCGGATTAGTGATGGCCGACCTGTACTGACAGATATATGAAGAAGACATACATGCAGCATATGGGAAACTCATTTAGGAGTTTCTTCAGTCTAATTGGACTGAAGATACTCTTGCTGGGCTGTAGAGCAAAATGTCTCCAAAATAAAAATTTTCCATATATTGCTTGCATGTTTGCTTTGTACGTACTGTAGATGCACTTATTCTGTAGATTGTGTATTACATGGGAACTTATATAAAGTATTACAGTATCTAATTATTAAAGTGAGGAATTCATCTTGTGGCTCTCATAGCTGGGAAGTTGAAGTTTCTTACATTTTCATATGTGCTTTTTATGCTGTATATTATTTTTCTTAACTTCTCTCTTTTTCTCCATATACTCTTCCCTCCTTGCATCACTTCTACTTTGTAAAAACTTCTCATATGCTAACTTTTTCTCCCTTACTACTCTCTTTACATCATCATTCCACCAATCGCTCCTCTTCCCTCCTGCACCCACTTTCCTGTAACCACAAACTTCTGCTGAACACTCTAACACTACATTTTTAAACCTACCCCATACCTCTTCGACCCCATTGCCTATGCTCTCATTAGCCCATCTATCCTCCAATAGCTGTTTATATCTTACCTAACTGCCTCCTCTTTTAGTTTATAAACCTTCACTCTCTCTTCCCTGATGCTTCTATTCTCCTTGTATCCCATCTACCTTTTACTCTCAGTGTAGCTACAACTAGAAAGTGATCTGATTATCTGTGGCCCCTCTATAAACATGTACATCCCGAAGTCTACTCAACAGTCTTTTATCTACCAATACATAATCCAACAAACTACTGTTTATTTGCCCTACATCATATCGTGTATACTTATTTATCCTCTTTTTTTTAAAAAATGTATTACCTATAACTAAACCCCTTTCTATACAAAGTTCAATCAAAGGGCTCCCATTTCATTTACACCTGGCACCCCAAACTTACCTACCACACCCTCTCTAAAAAGTTTCTCCTACTTTAGCATTCAAGTCCCTACCACAAATTACTCTCTCACTTGGTTCAAAGGCTCCTATAATTCACTTAACATCTCCCAAAATCTCTCTCTCTCCTCTGCATTCCTCTCTTCTCCAGGTGCATACACGCTTATTATGACCCACTTCTCGCATCCAACCTTTACTTTAAATCCACATAATTCTTAAATTTACACATTCATATTCTCTTTTCTCCTTCCATAACTGATCATTTAACTTACTGCTACCCTTCCTTTGCTCTAACTCTCTCAGATACTCCAGATTTAACCCCATTTATTTCCCCCCACTGAAACTCTCCTACCCCCTTCAGTTTTGTTTCGCTTAGGGCCAGGACATCCAACTTTTTTTCATTCATAACATCAGCAATCATTTTGTTTCTTGTCATCCGCACTACATCCACGCACATTTAAGCAACCCAGTTTTATAAATTTTTTCTTCTTCTCTTTTTTAGTAATTGTATACAGGAGAAGGGGTTACTAGCCCATTGCTCCGGCATTTTAGTCGCCTCATACGACACGCATGGCTTACGGAGGAAAGATTCTTTTCCCTTCCCATGGACAATAGAAGAAATAAAAAAGAACAAGAGCTATTTAGAAAAAGGAGAAAAACCTAGATGTATGTATATATATATATGCATGTGCGTGTCTGTGAAGTGTGACCAAGTGTAAGTAGGAGTAGCAAGATTATCCCTGTTATTTAGCGTGTTTATGAGACAGAAAAAGAAACCCGCAATCCTACCATCATGCAAAACAGTTACAGGTTTTTGTTTCACAGTCATCTGGCAGGACGGTAGTACTTCCCTGGGTGGTTGCTGTCTACCAACCTACTAAGAGAGTGGTGAAGCAATGTAAAAAGAGAGCAAATGAGAGAGTGGGTGAGATGTTATCAACAAATTTTGTTGAAAAAAAAGAAAAAATTTTGGAGTGAATTAACAAGTTAAGAAAGCCTAGAGAACAAATGGATTTGTCAGTTAAAAAATAGGAGAGGAGAGTTATTAAATGGAGAGTTAGAGGTATTGGGAAGATGGAAGGAATATTTTGAGGAATTGTTAAATGTTGATGAAAATAGGGAAGCTGTGATTTCGTGTATAGGGCAAGGAGAATAACATCTTGTAGGAGTGAGGAAGAGCCAGTTGTGAGTGTGGGAAGTTCGTGAGGCAGAGGTAAAATGAAAGGTGGGTAAGGCAGCCGGGATTGATGGGATAAAGATAGAAATGTTAAAAGCAGGTGGGGATATAGTTTTGGAGTGGTTGGTGCAAATTATTTAATAAATGTATGGAAGAGGGTAAGGTACCTAGGGATTGCAGAGAGCATGCATAGTTCCTTTGTAAAAAAGGCAAAGGGGATAAAAGAGAGTGCAAAATTATAGGGGATAAGTCTGTTGAGTGTACCTGGAAAAGTGTATGGTAGAGTTTTTAATTGAAAAGAATTAAGAGTAAGACGGAGAATAGGATAGCAGATGAACAAGGAGGCTTTAGGAAAGGTAGGGGGTTGTGGACCAGGTGTTTACAGGGGAAACATATAAGTGAACAGTATTTATTTAGATAAGCTAAAGAGGTCTTTGTGGCATTTATGGATTTGGAAAAGGCGTATGACAGGGTGGATGGGGGGGCAATGTGGCAGATGTTGCAAGTGTAGGGTGTAGGAGGTAGGTTACTGAAAGCAGTGAAGAGTTTTACGAGGATAGTGAGGCTCAAGTTAGAGTATGTAGGAAAGAGGGAAATTTTTTTCCCCAGAAAAAAGTAGGCCTTAGACAAAGGTTTGTGGGGATGTCACCGTGGTTGTTTAATATATTTATAGATGGGGTTGTAAGAGAAGTAAATGCGAGGGGCTTGGCAAGAGGCGTGGAGTTTAAAAAATAAAGAATCACACACAAAGTGGGAGTTGTCACAGCTGCTCTTTGCTGATGACACTGTGCTCTTGGGAGATTCTGAAGAGAAGTTGCAGAGATTGGTGGATGAATTGGTAGGGTGTGCAAAAGAAGAAAAT